GTGGGGGAATGGGAAGATGGTCAAAAAGTACAAAATCTCAAACAGTAGGAATATAAGTTGGGTTTTTTTAGTTATTTTGCATAGTATGGTAAATATAGTTAATGCAGTATTGCATATTTTTAAATTAAAACGATACATTTTAAATATTCTTATCACACAAAATGTTAAATATTTGATAAGGCGGGTGTATTAATAGTTTGATTTAATTATTTCACATTATATTTATGAATCAGAGCATCAGTTTATATGTCATAAATTTACAAATTATAAATTTTCATTTATAATTTTAAAAAAGTTACCTAAACCATTTTTTTTGCCTTAAATGGTTTTAAATGGAATATAACATACTCAGTGTTTGTTGTTATTTGTTTGTTTGTTTTGAGAGACAGAGTTTCACTTTGTCCACCCTTGGTAAAGTGCTGTGGTGTCACAGCTCACAGCAACCTCCAGCTCTCGGGCTTAGGTGATTCTCTTGCCTCAGCCTCCCGAGTATCTGGGACTACTGGCGCCCACCACAAGACTCGACTATTTTTTTGTTGCAGTTTGGCTGGGGCCAGGTTTGAACCTGCCACCCTTGGTATATGGGGCCAGCACCCTACTCACTGAGCTACAGGCGCTGCCCTTGTTTGTTGGTGTTTCTTTTTCTTATTATTATTATTTCAGGTTAATTGAGGGTACAAAGAATTAGGTTGCAATGTTTGCATTTGTTAGGTAGAGTCCCTCTTATATTTGTGTCCCGCTCCCAAGATGTATACCATACAACCTAACCTTGTGCTCATTAAGTGGGAGCGCACCCATCCACCTCCCTCCTCCCTATTCCCTTATTCCCCCATCCCCACCTTAAATTGATTTGAGTTTTTCTTTTATATGGAAGTGTATTAAATTGTCTGCTGTCTTCATACTAGAATTAAGTACATTGGATTCTTCTCCATTCTTGTGATACTTTGCTAAGAAGAATGTGTTCCAGCTTCATCCAGATTAATACAAAAGAATACAAAAAGTCTCCATCTTTTTTAATGGCTGAGTAGTATTCCATGGTATACATATACCACATCTTGTTAATCCATTCCTGAGTTGGTGGGCATTTATGTTGTTTCCACATTTTGGCAGTTGTAAATTGAGCTGTAATAAACAGTTTAGTGAAAATATCTTTATGATAAAATGATTTTTTTTTCTTCTGGATAGATGCCCAGTAATGAGATTGCAGGA